CCCCAAAACCCCAAAACCCCAAAACCCCAAAACCCCATTTGGATCTAAAGATGGTATAAAAAGAATAGAAATAATATTAGGTTAGTTTATTTTATATTTTGAATTACAAGCAAATGCAATATTTTCTTAAGTTTTTGGCTTTAATTAACATCATTTGGCACGTAATTGCTCAAACTTGCAAATAAGGATAATTCTATGATTCAGTTGCTTTAAAATGCTAAGGTAATCAGCAATATTTTCTGTAATTTTATTAAGATTGTGGACTTGGCTGCATGGAGTGTGAAAATTAATCTTTATGCAAAAAATGCTTTAATGAATAACTATCATCTGATATACAAGGTAATTGTGGCTTTTGTAGTATAGGATAATACCTTAATAAAACTTCAATATGTTAAGGTAAATACATATAAATTGAGATAATAATATTTAGATTGTTAGTGTCAAGCAAATAGCTTTTTACTTGATACTGTGTCTAATCCATCTTCGGTCTGCATAAATTAATAATTTTGCTTAAAATGTCCGAACTAATAAGCCCTTGACCTGGAAAACTTGTATTGTGTCAATTAGTGTAGAGCGAATGAAGAAATAGTATATATCTAAAATCACGGATACTCAAATTCACCTGTCTCTTATTGTAGGGGTAATTTCTTAACTTTTGATAATTGGATTCAAATGTAGCCAGTCAAATTTTTATCGATCCTTCATACAAAGGATACATGGAACTTGGAACTATTCTCTATCCATTCAAATCTATTACACCAGCTCTTGTTGAACTGTTTAACTATTTAAATGTTGAAACTAATGACTATGAAATCTTAGTTAAGGAAAATACAACAAATTATTTGATGACTCTATTTAGTCAGTTGATCATTCTCAATTCTAAAAATATTACAATAAGGTATTTATCTAATTAATGGTATAATTACAAATATTTTTTTAGGACATACTAGTCTTCAAATATCAGTGCTTTGGGAGCTAAATCTACTCTATACATTTTGTCTGATAAATTTTACAAGATCGCATATGAGACTAGATTTAGTCTGATAAATGAAACTTTTAATTTTAACAACAAATTATAGAATGGGAAGATTTCATCAGATGAAATCATCATTATGTCTCCTAAAGCTGAATTAATCATTATGCGTAGTGAAGTCAAGTTTAATAATTTCTTTATTTAAAGTAAAATCCTTAGCTTAATTGATTAATTTTTATTCTAGATGAATTTAAAGCAAAAAATTCTGACAAAAGGTTTGCTTTTTTCTGGGAAATTCAGAGCAAGACAATTACATTCTTAGTAAATACATTAATGCTTTAATTCTTGGAAATTATAGAATGTAATTTTTAATCTCTATGGCAGAGTGATGACATCTTTGAGTCCTCTTAATTTGAGAATAGAGAATTCAACATTGATAACAGATTGGGTTAGTGAAGGCATTATACTCACATCAGATTGTTCACTAAACAAAAAAAATGTGTATTATGGTGAAGTTGTACTTTAATGACTCAAAGTTTAAGGTTAAAGATATTTGATAATGGGATAGCCACATATATACATAACTACACTATTTAATGTGACAGTAAATGATTGTGATTTTAGATCTTTTTCAACAAATGATGATGCCAATAAATAACAGTTGTTGATTGATTCAACTTCACTATGCCCATTTGATACAGATAATAAAATCAAAAAGACTTAATTTTCTAATATCTACATAAGTTCAGATGCTCATATTCCTAAAACTGCAATTTAATACTAAATCAATTGCCAGTTGAAATCAGACCTTGGAAAAAGAAATTAGGAATGTATTTTCGAAAATATAACTGCAGAGCATCTATATTCTTCAATTACCCTTCTTAATATAGCGACATAGAATCTTAATGTCACTTTCAGTAATATAACTAACAGAAACGTTTCAATTGGTCCAGTTTAGGCTTTTCATCTTATCTTTGCAGGCACAAATACTATCTAGCTTATAGACACTAAATTTTATGATTGCAACACTCAATCTAGAATAGCAGTTTGTTTAGTCTTATATAACAATATGTTTATCGATAACTTGATCATGATAAATAACACCTGTAAGAAATACTTATGATTTTAAATTATATGTTAGTGGATAGATTGAAAAATGGATTCTGCTTTGTCAAGGGAGCTTCTAATCCTACTACTGCAATTTAGTCATTCAATAATCTATATTTCAAAGGCAATAAAGTGAACTCAAATTAAAGTAAGTAATTTTATCTATTAATTGCATTTAAATTTCTTAATAGTGTTTTAATAAGATCAATCAATTAGGAAATTTATCATTACCAACTCAGTTTTTGAAGATGAAAGTAAATATTTTCGCTTTAATCTTTAAAGCTGTCAATTCTCAAACGAATTACATAAGCAATCTTAAGAGCCAGAGTTTTCAGATATAAAATGCAACTTTTAAGAATTTCAAATATAGTGATGAACTTAGACAAGGCTCTTACATAATAAGATTCGATGAATATACACTTGTAGCGAATTAGGCTGAGAATAGTACTTTCAATAACATTTCAGTCATTGGAAATGAGGTTAACTTCTTTGTCTTTAGTGGATTTAAGAATTACTCAGTTATTAATACGGATCTGCTTTATCAAATGAAAATTTAGAATGCATTGTTTTTGGAGAATTCACTCACAAAGGATGCGTAAATCATAACGATAGATTAATTTATGGACAAAAACAATGCTTAGGTAGTCATCTCAGACTCTTTCTTCAATAATAACTCATTTACAGCTGGTGGAGATCTAATGTTATTTAAGCAAAATTAAAGACTACCGCTTTTGATATATAATACTACTTTTATATAGAATCTATAGGGATAGATACTTATGCAAGCTGGAGACGTTGATTAGTTTGATTTACCTCTATAAGTTTCAATTATTAGTTGTAATTTTACCTACAACTATGCTGTCATTTAATCGATGATATCAGTCAAGACCAATTCTAAATTAACAATAAATAATACTCTGTTTAATCATACTTTCTCATATGCTAGAGGAAGCATTGCATTGGCTGATTATCAGAATGTTTAAATCACTATTTACAACTGTATATTTTTTGAAAACACAGCAGTTGATGGTGGACTATTCTTTATCCACTATGGAAGTAATGTCGACATCTATAATTCTTATTTTGAAAATAATACTGCCTTGATCGGAAGCATTGCTATGATTGAAAATTAAGGATAAATAAAGATAAAAGATTCAGTTTTAAGAGAAAATCATGCTCTCAAAAGCTCAATTATAGCAATCATCGACTCAAGTGATAAAACTTCTATTTTTGATAACTGCACTTTTGAAAGAAACTAACCATTAGATCCTTATTCTTACTCTATTCTAGTTTTTTCATAATGGAGAGATCCTAGATATAATATGTTTACCATTCCTAATACATTACTTAATAGGAATTACATGCTTAACGAAATCTAATATACTTTTAGCGTCAGCAAATCTAATTTTATTATTAAAAATTCTCTCATCAAGGAAGGAATGTAAGACTTTTTTGTATTAATCTTACTTTAGAAACTTTATCATCTCTTACATTTCAGATATAAGTGTAACAAATGCATTATTTGAAAATGTATAAATTGATGAATCTGAAGGGTCATTCTTTTCCTTAACCTCATCAAAACTTAGAATCACAGATGTAGTCCTAAGAAATTTCACCTATTAAAATCAGAAAATTACACATAAATAATATCTTATCGAACAAAATTTAAATTCAGTTCTGAGATTAAGAAACACCACAATAACAAACTCTAATATTCAAATTATCAATTCAATCAATTCTAACTTGACTATTATTAATACAACTATCTCAAAGATTTAGCACTATGGTATTAATGATAAGTTACTTAAAATGGATTCATCAAATATTTAGATAAGCACTTCTAATTTTAACTAGATCAAAACTCTATCCTTAATTCATGTATAAATAAGTAGATCAAAGATTGTCTAAATTTTCAATTCAAACTTCAGCGACTTTAATAGAACCCTTTTAGACTTATCAATGTCAAATCTAAATATATACAACTCAAGATTCTATTGCAACTCAAATTAAACAGATTTCGATTTATTAAATGAAAAAAGACTTTTTGAGTCCTATCGATCAGCTGATAACAGAATCATAAATCAAAATTCAGGAATACTTCAAATATTCAATTCAGTTTTTTCAAAAGGATATTCTTTAATTTCAGGTGGAGCTATAAATATAAACAATGCTAATCTGAGAGTCACTAATTCTAATTTTAATGATAATCTTGCTCATTATGGAGGAGCTATATCTCTCTTATGCTCAATTTGTAAATATTTTATGTTTAATACTTTTAGCCACTAATTGTACTTATCAGATACAAAATAATACGTTTACTGGAAATGTTGCCTTTGATAAAGGTGGGTCAATCTTCTATAATAAATTCAGGCCTTAGATTTATGTTAACAACACTTTTGACATTTAAAATTATGCCCCTTATGGGAAGGACATCGCTGGATATCCATTCAGTATTAAGATAGAGTCCTATGATACATACTAGCTTGCTAGTGGCCAATCATATAATGGAAAAATAGTAGTATCAATTATTGATGTAGATTAAAATAGAATCTCAAATGATAACACTTCGTAATTTATTCAATTTTAGATCATTTATAGTACCTTAAACATTGGAATAGTCGACCCTAAATCTAAAGCAACAGGGAATTATCAGATTCAAGTTTAAAATGGTATAGGCATCTTTGATGCTTTAACTTTTTATTCTAAGCCTGGAAGCTAAAATGTGAGCTTCATCATTTCCTCCTCCAGTATTGATACTGATTATATCTAGAATATATTCAAAAGTAGCAGCTTAGTCAAAGATATAACACAGATTAACAAGCAATTTGTATTCTATGATTTTAGAATGTGCAAAAGTGGAGAAGTTACCTTCAATGATTAGTAAGAGTATTTTGTAAATAATCATTTTTAGATGTCTTGTCTGCACCATAGGATATTTCTCATTTAATGGAAGTGATGATTCATGTAGAGAATGTCCTGCTCATGCTGATTGCCCAGGAGGAGATTCAATAATTGTAAACAATGGCTTTTGGCGATCAAATAAATATTCCACAAGAATTATTAAATGTTTGTATGAAAATGCTTGCGTTGGTGGTGTTCTTAATGATACTACAGTTAATGAATATCCTTTGTGCTCTTATGGCTATGGTGGAAATCTCTGTGAAAAATGCTTGCTTATCGATGGAATTCAGTTCACTAGATTAAATAAATATGAATGTGGGAAATGTCCAGACAAAAGAAATAATATTCTATATATATCTGGGATATTTTTAGCATTGATATTTGCTCTTGGAATATTGTTATGGATTAATCTAAGAAAATAAACGGAAAGTGAGACCAGTATAGTTTTAAGAATCATACTTAACTACGTATAAATTTTAACATCAGCTGCTGCATTTAATCTTGATTGGCCTTATTATTTGCAAGTGTTTTTTGGAGCATATTAATCAGTTGGAGAGGTAGCAGAGACCTTCATTTCTTTTGATTGCTTCTTGGAGGATACTGGTTTTACATAGACTGGAGCCTCAACCTATTATTTTAAAACTTTGATGATTATCTTATTGCCTTTGATTATGTGCTTTATATTCATTGTGATATTTGTGGTTAGGAATCTATTTAAGAAAAATCCAGCTGTTATTATGCAAAGATAAATTATTGTTGCTTCTATTGTAGTGCTATACTCTCTTCATCCAACAATTTCTAGAATGAGCAGTAGTCTATTTTTCTGCATGGAACTAGACTAAAATGAATATTGGCTCTAATCAGATTTACAGATAAGATGCTGGTCTTCTGATCATATCAAATGGAGTCTTGGTATTGGACTTTCTTCATTATTAATTTGGACTCTAGGAATACCACTAGCTGGCTATATTTATTTAACCAAGAACAAGAAAAATCTTGGAGATAAAAAATTCTTCGGCAAATTCAGGATGATGTATCAAGGACTAAAGCCTGACTGCTATTATTGGGAATTCGCTAACATTCTCAGGAAAACTTTTCTAGTACTTGTCAATGTTTTCCTAAATCTATATCCAAATATTTTCAAAGCTCTTATTAGCTTAATTGTACTTGCTGCCTACTTAAGTCTGTAAGAAAAGCTAAATCCTTACAAAAATCCAGTATTTAATAACTTAGAAAGGCGTGAGCTTATTACTAGTTTGATTACATTCTTTGGAGCACTATTCTTTGTTAGTTCTGAAATTTCTGATCTCATTTAGCTGGTAGTATTTATCGTGATTGTACTAGCTAATTTCTGGTTTATATTATTGGCTGTCTATTGTCTACTCAGCACAATTAAATATCCTATTACAAGGAAGCTTAGCATAGCAATGGGAAAAATTATACTAACTGATAGATTGATTTTCTTAGAATAAGAATATAGAGCTAGTAAAAGAATAACAGATGCTTAATTTAAATAAGATGGAACTGGAATAGAGAAACATTATCTGGATTAGACTGACTTAAATGATTCTTTTATCCCTGGTTTTAAACATACGAACTATACAATTGCTGAATAATAGACGAAAAAGAATACTACAATTAAAAGCATCTTATTTACAACTAGCATAAAGCACATGGATGAAAACAAAAAATCTAAAGGTCGCTCTTTCAAAAGCTAAAAACACACCAATGATAAAATGGACACAAAGTCAAAAATTTATCCTAATCATAAAAGTATAAGCCAAAGACAACCAGTTATGAATATTGACATAAGCAAAATCAATAATAGAAACAGAAATCACAATAAGCATAGTCTATTAAAGCCTAAGGTTGTAGAGAAAATAGAATCTAGTTCAGACTAAAAAGTAGAGTCCAATATGACTAAATATACCGTAGTAAATTTCAATGATCAATCGAATCTGATTTCACAGAAGAATTAGACTTTGATTACAGCTGCTTTTGACCCTTAGAAAGATTATGATAGAGTATCAAATATTGTTAATTTTCCTAGCTAGTTATTATCCAATATCAATACAAATACACAGGCTCTTGATCAAACATAAACGAATAACAATAGAAAATTTGACAGTAATACTCTCAATTAGCCGATAGAAAAAATTAATCAAAAGCTGACATTAGACTAATATGTATAAAATTTGCAGAGAATTGATTAGGCTAAGGTAATTAATAGAAATTTAATTGAGGAAAAGTAGAGATAAAAACTAAAAAAAGCATTTGTTAAGGATGTATTGAAAAGTAAAGTCAAAGAAAAATCTGGTAATAATGGTAATTAACTTATAAAACCTAATAAATCTTCGAGGAACTTTACATTTATTGAATTCTAGAATAATGATGATCCAAAGAATCTCAATTCAATTATTACCTAGATCTAAAAATTCAAAGACACAAAAAATAGAAAGAAAAAGTAAAATCCTTAAATTACACAATCATATAAATCAGAACAGGAGTGATTATAGCAAACCTCTAAAAGTTAAATTCTCTAATAATTCTATTGTAAATACCCAAAGATTCCAAATACTTAACCTAGTAAAACAATTCCAATATACAAATAATAAAACTATTGGTATTTTTTTAATTCTTAAATTTGCAATTTTACCAATTATATCACTGAATCTTACATATTGGGGTTTTGGGGTTTTGGGGAGATCGGAAGAGCGTC